GCCGAGCCCTGGTTGGGTTTCAGCTCCCACGAGGCCCCCATTGGCACAGAGCCAACGCGGCACCAGTGGGCGCAGCAAGCCCAGTCTCACTCCAGAACCAGGGATCCTTTGGCCATCTCTTCCTTGGAGCTCAAGGACTCTGCTAAACGCGCCCCTACCTTACTGGGGGCTGCCTACGTGCATGTCTTGCCTGCCGCTGTCAGTCTTTTCCAGTCGCGGCCCATCCTCATAACACGGTTGTTGAACTTAAATGCACGTATCTCATCGGAGACCGGAGACCTTATTCTATTCCACCAACCCGCCGCCATCCCAGCAGCTTCTCCCATCCGCTGTCCTCCTGGTCTTTGACAACTAAATCCAGACAGGAGATGTAAGACAAAATTCTGGATAGAAGGCAAAGCCCGCATTTCATCCTCAGGGACCAGAGAAAAGGCATGATTATTGTCATGTCCCTTTTTTCCTTCACACTCCCCTCATCCTTGTCTCGGTGCACAAAGCCATCCCCTCCTTGTCACCGATGTCACCGCCAGGGGTTGAGACCAAAGACCGACCGCCGTGGAGCACCACTGCGTCCCTCCCTTTGCTTCCGTGCTACCCTGAAAGCGGCAAAGGAAATGAAACCACAAGCCTCTCGAGGCCGCCCTGGCACTCGCGCCCCTGGAATCACATGGAAGTCGCTGGCCGCAGATCTGGGGCGCGGCTCGTAACTCAGCCCTTGCAGGGTGGCTAATGCAGGTGTCCGGAGGTGGTGGGGACCCTGGTGGCGGCAGTGAAGGTGACAGATGTGACCTGTAACGAGCAAAGTCTCGGTTACACGATGATGAAATAAGCAGTGATTTCTCGGCCTCGTTCCGGCTTCCCGGGGCTCAGGGCAGGCCTTTAAGATGATTTATGTGAAGGCTTTGAAGTTAGGTACTTTCACAGCTCTCGCCAGGGCCTGCTTGAGTTTGCTGAAAGATAGGAGTTATTGGAGATATGAAAGATCAATCTGACGGAAGAGAAAAGAAAACAGACTCGGAGCTGCTTCCTTTGGGGAAGCAAAGAAAGCCGGTGTGCCCTGCATCTCTTTCCTTCCTCCACCTGGCCTGCCCCTCCAGCCATGGGAGGGAGTCCTGCAGGAGTGGGGAGCATTTGCTCCTAGGCTCCAGACCAGGTGACTTACAGCAGGAAGGGGGAGCAAGGATGCTTCCGAGCTGCCCTGCCACCTCCCCTGCCCTGAATTCCCCGCCTGGTGCTAAATCTGGAGGAATCTGTCCTCAGTAGAAAGGCTTTTAAATCCACTTAGATTGAACACAGTCCTTCAGAAACCTCAATTTTGATGACATGAGTTTTTCTTTTCTTTTTTTTTTTTTTTAGCTTCCTAGGACTGCCAGAACCAAGTGCCACAGATTGAGTGATTTAAAACAACTGAAATTTATTCTCTCACAGTTCTGGAGGCTAAAAGTCCAAAATTAAGTTGTCAGCGGGGCTGCGCGCTCTCTGAAGGCTCTAGGGGAGGATCCTTCCCTGCCTCTTCCAGCTCCTAGCCATTGCAGCAGACCCGGCATCCCTTGGCGTGTGGCTGCACCACTCCGGGCTCTGCCCCTGGCTTCACGTGGTCTTCCCTCTGTGTCTCCTTTTTGGGGAAGGACACCAGCCAGATTGGATCAGAGCCCACCCATATGACTTCATTTTGCCTTATTTACCTCTTTAAAGGTGCTGTCTCTGATTACATAGTCACATTCTGCGGTCCTGGTGGCTAGGACTTCAACAGAGGAATTTGGCAGCCAGTGCCCAAGGAAGCTCACAGTCCCCACGCGGAGGTGACATAAATCCCATCCAGTCCTGCACTGGCCTCTTCTACCAGGAAGCTATGCTGGTCCTGGTGCTGACAGGTACCCACTCAGGGAAGCATGGGCTGGGTCTGCCTTCTGGGCATCCAGCTGATGTCCTTGCTGAAGACAAGACTGAGGGACCAGGCTTAGGGGCTGTCACGTGTGACCAAGCCACTTTGGAGATCCCCCAATGTGTGGTGGGATGCCCACTCCATTTCTGGCCAAGGTGGGCTCCTTATAGCCATTGGCTCCCAGCCAGGCTTTTGGCTACATGCTCTACCTGCTTTGGGGACATGTGGGGATCCCCAGGTCACCTGCAGGCCTCAGGAGATGAAGGGAGCCAGGAATCCTGAATTGAGCTCGCTCACCCCACCTTCCTGTGACCACATTTCACTCCCTGACACCCACACATCCCCATGTTGGGATGGGGTTATCTCCTCCAAGGATCCAAACAGGGAGCAGAAGAAAAGCCCATTTTCTTTGGGCTCCCCCCAGAACATCAACTTGGGGGACATTGGCACAAACATATGTGACCACCAGCGTCCCGTTCCTTGGTCTCCCTTCTCCTCCTTGTCCACCAGAGCCGGAAAGAACTGAGCTTCCCCTGTTCCTCAGGGCAGAAACTTGTATGCAGTGTCCTGAGTTTTCTAGATTATAAGAGTTTCAGAGATCGAATCTCTAGGCCTCGATCTTCATATGGTGATAGGAGCTAAAGGAATTTCTAAAATTATCTCTTGCCAATCAATGCCTGACTTTCAAAAACACTGTCTTGCTGAGAACATAAAGACCTATATTGAATATCAGAAGCGGAAAACCTAGTCTCTTGCTAGTTCTTCTCCAAGCCCTGCCTTCCAGGCCAGCCAGAAGAGCAGCCCTCTCTACCTACAGACCCTCCAACTCAGCCAGGGCTCCTAGGGTGCCCCACCACTCTGTGGAGCTGGCCCTGAGACCAGGAGGACAGGAAAGAGCCTCTCACCCCCTGCTTGCTCGAGAGCTGCCTTCTTTCCTCCTTGGGGCCCAGGAGCTTCTAGCTGCCATCCAGTGAGCTCCTCTCGGGTAGCAAGGGAAAAACCAGCTAACCAAAAACTGGCTCAACATGGATTCTTTCAAGATCAGTTCTTCTTACTCTTGGACCTCAGCTCCTAAGTTAAGGGCCAAGAATTTGACAAGTTCTTCCTGGTTCTAATACGCCCCGTCTCTCCCAGCCTAAACAGCTCCCAGCAGAAAGGGGGGGCTGTATGCATTTTCTGTAACTGCCATAATAAATCACCACAAACCAGGAGGCCCGAAAACAACAGAACTTGATTCTCTAATAGTTCTGGAGGCCAGAAAAGTGAAATCAAGATGTCATCAGGGCCATGTTCCCTGAACGCTCCAAAGGGTGTAGGGGAGGGTCCTTTTTTTAGCTCTTCCAGTCTCTGGAGGCTCTTGGCACCCCTTGGCATTCCTTGGTTTGTGGCTGAATCACCCTAATCTCTGCCTTGTCTTTACATGGCATTCTTCTCCCCTGTGTTTCTCTTCTCCTCTTTTAGGGAGAAGCCATTAGAATAGGGCCCACCCTAACCTAGTATGACCTCATCTTGATTATATCTACAAAGACCTTGCTTCCAAATAAGATCGCAAATAAGGTTCCAGGTGGACATGACTTTTGGGGTGGGGGGACACTATTCAACCCACTACAGGGACACATGTGTCAATGCTTCCTAATATTGTTCTCACTCTGGTGGTGAAGCCCCACGCACAGAGTGGGTGTTCAGGAAAAGAAAGGTGCCTATCCGTCCTCCCAAAATGTACCATACTTAACTGAAAGCTATACAGGTTTTCGTAATAGCCTCACACATGCCTTCCAAAGGGGGCAGTTCCTGCAAATATTGGCCTGAAGTGTTTGCTCCAGGCTCCCCCACGCTCCCCCTTTCTGAAACAGCCCCCCCTTCCCATGGTCATTTGTGCCCATTTGCCTATTTGTTTATACCCTTTCTTGTTCCAAAAAGGATTTCAGGCAGATGGTTTTTATTACCAAGCTAAATGAACACAGCAAGATCCTGTAGTGAATACAGTATTCTCCGCAAACATAAATTTCCATGAAACCAACATGAAAAAACCCAAAAGCACTTGGAAATTAAAATGATGGTGTTAAGTTTGACATCAGGCTCCTTTCTTATTTTCGTTGACTCTCTGAAACATATTACATTCCTCGCTGCTCTGCTTTTGCAAGCTTTGTGTGTTCTTTCTTGTTTTCTGCTTAATCTCTTTATGGAAGAGGCCTCTGGTCAGGAAGGGAGATTCTGGGTTATTAAGAGCTGCAGGTAGAGATTCAAGTGCCTCATTTCAGGGCACAAACTTTAGAAAGGAGAATGATTGAAATCCATCAGGGCACAAACAAACGTCACTCCATGCTTATCAAATTGAATACTGAGAGTATTCCTGTCCCTTTGGAAAAGGGCCTGATGGTGTCTGAGTGTGTCTTGAGAGCCTGACTTTCTCATCCACATGCTGCCTGTGGCAACTGAGATATTTTGAAATGGTTTCAAGGTGGGACCCAGCAAAGCTGCCATGAACATTAGCCAGGATTGGAATGGAGAGCAAGGCCTTTCTGAAAATCATGCTTGAGACCCGTTCTTGTTCACTCAAAAAATCTTGATGGAGTGTTCAGTGCCCACCTGCAGAGCTCCACCTGAACCCACTTTGCTCATCACCACTGCCTTTTCCAATGGCTTGAGGGGGTGCTGGTGACTCCGGGCTGGCAGCCTGCGGAGGACGGAACTTAAGCTTGGGTTGGAGGCCCCGATTTTTCTATAACCAGCTGTGAGGACTGGATGAGACGCCTAAACTTGATAACAGATGCCTCACAGAGTCGTCTGTAGGGTTAGATAATCGTCTGCATGCAAGCACTCAGTAAATTAGAAGGCGTAGGAAACCCAGAGGCGTGGCACCCAGCATCAGCCGACTGTGCGTGGAGCGGGTAGCAATTAGGAGGAGTCCAGCACAGGCGAGGTCTTTGTTCGGAATGGCGGGTGGATGACCCGGCAGTCTTCACTGATCCCACCTGGCGCTATGCCGCCCACCAGGTCCTGCAATGGGGGGCATGGCCGCCTCTTCCCATGGCAGTAGCCCGCCTGCAGCAGGCTGAGTAGGCCTTCCCACAGTGCCCCCTCGAGGAAAGGAGGGCTCACTGCAGGAAGGCCACTATGTGCCGGCCTTAAGTCCTCTGAGATAGTCTTCCGTCCTCCCATGTGGGCCAGGGTCTAGATTTGCCATCTGGCTCTCGGAATTATCTAGAATAGAGATAAGAGGACAGTGTTGTCTCGGTTAATATCTGAGGACATTTATTCCAATGAAACCCCTTTCACATAAACTAATGAACGACCGCAAGACCTCACTGGGTGGGGTGGCCCCACTCAGAATGGCTAAGATAAGACACACATCTTACGTGTATGGGTAAGCACGTCTTTTATTGTGGTAAAATACACATAACATCAAACTTACCATTTTAATCATTTTTAAGTGGACAGTTCAGTGGTATTAAGTACATTCACATTATTATGCAACAATCACCACCAACCATCTCCAGACCATGTTCAGCGTCCCAAACAGAAACTTTGTCCCCATTAAATACTAACTCCCCATTGCCCCTCCCCAGCCCCCAGTAACCACCATTCTGCTTTCTGTCTCTATGAATCAGACTCCTTTAGGGACCTTATACAAGTAGAATCATGTAATATTTGACTCCTCTGACTGGCTTATCTCACTGAGCACAATGGCTTCAAGGTTCACCCATGTTGTAGTGTGTGTCACAATTTTATTCCTTTCAAGACATAATTTCTTTGGTGGTCACTACATATCAGATGATCTCTGGGCACTTTGGCTGTGAAGTTCCTGGTATCTATCTCATCCAACAGGTTAAATCTTCCCGTGTTCAGAGTACAAAAGAGCCATTAGCAAATACAGGATCATGTTGAAATGTGTGTTGCTGAGGTCACGGTCAGCTACATTATGGGCACCAGATAAATAAACGTGAGGTCATGTCTCACAAATGTGTTGTTTAAATTTCAGAAACTTCCCATTTCATACCAAATGACCAGCATTAGCCAACATATTTATGTTCAGACAGCACCAAAGAAGCCCTGCTTGAACTAAAATCTACCTCGTCTTCCAGGATAAAAGCATAAACAGGATCCTATTTAATTCATTTCCCCAGGGTCTTCCCTGTTAAATACATTTGCCATCAGTTCACTTGTCTATTCTCTACTTGGAAATGTCCCCACTAAGCAAAATTCTTTCTGACGCTCTTTCTAGGTAGACTACAAAGCACTATTAACCTTAGCTATTTCTGAAGGATTCTTTCAAGAAAAGGGCAAATATTGTGATTCACAGTTGATGGAAAATGAAGGGTTCTCCCGATAATTACTCAGTTTGCCTTCATTGTCACTTAACTCAGGATGAGAGGGTGTCCTGAGGCAGCCAAGGAGGAAGCTTCAGAAAACAAAGCAACATGTAAGATTAGGAAGGCATCAGGCGCCTGGGTGGCTCAGTTGGTTAAGCGACTGCCTTCGTCTCAGGTCATGATCCTGGAGTCCCGGGATCGAGTCCCACATCAGGCTCCCTGCTGAGCAGGGAGTCTGCTTCTCCCTCTGACCCTCCCCCCTCTCATGCTATCTCTATGTCATTCTCTCTCTCAAATAAATAAATAAAATCTTAAAAAAAAAGACTAGGAAGGCATCTTGCTTTTGCTCTGTATTTGGAAATGAACTTGACTGACACGGCATCTTCTGCTCTACCTATTTAACCTGCATTCAAGCATCAGTGCTACCAGCTGAGATTTCCTGGTCCTGACGGAAATCACAGTCTCACTGCACATCGTAGAATAGTACTAAGTAACTGGTGAGCCACAGATATCACCAGCTGCAATGGGTTGAATTCAGTCCCCCAGATAGATTCAAGTCCTAATTCTGGTACCTGTGAAGGTGACCTTATTTGGAAATAGGGTCTTTGCAGATACAATCAGGTTCAGATGAGGTCATTGGGCCCTCATTCAATATGGCTGGTGTCCTCATAAGAGGAAAATGCCACGTGAAGAGAGGGACACAGAGGGAAGAAGCCATGTAAAGACAGAAGCAGAGATTGGAGTAATAGAAGCTGCAAGCAGAGGAGGGCTGAGGATGGGGAGCCACCAGGGGAAGCTGCAAGAGGCAAGGAGGGGTCCTCCCTAGACACTCCCAGGGAGCATGGCCCTGCTGCCATCTTGATCTTGGACTCCTCCAGAACTGAGAGAATACATTCCTCTTGTCTTAAGCCACCCAGTTTGTGGTACATTGTTACAGCAGTCCCAAGAAATGAATACACTGGCCAAGTGTTCAGGCTACTTACTTGGCGAAAAAGTAACAAACCTCCAGTCTGATTTTGCAATTCACTCTTCATGTCCGAAAAGTACGATCTTAAACCCAAAAATATGGGGTTTTCAGATCCAGACCTGAACGGACATTTACACTTAAATGATCAGTTCTCACCTCCTCCTGTCTCATTTGTCTTGGGGCAGTTCTAGGGTATTTCCCTAAAGAAATTATCTTTTCTTCCAAAGGGCACCAGGGCCCCCAATTCTAAATGTAGACTGTGGCTGAGCATGGATGGTCTGGCGTGCCCCACCCTTCTCCCTGGGAAGGGCCAGCAAGTCCCTAGTCACCCTCAGTAAGGAGACCAGATGCTCAGTCCTCTGATGGATACACAGATGCACACCTGTCCCTGCCCCCTCAGCCCACTGTGGGGTGCTGATGGCTGTGAGCCTGTTTGCTTCATTGTTGCAGTTGAGCTTCTCTTCATGACTGAGTCAAGAGCAGGCAGGGAAGGAGCCTCCTCCACCATGCCGGTCCCTCCACAGGTTACACCGTCGTCCGTGCCAGGACCCCAAACCAGCTCCTTACCAACCTGGTGCCCACAAGAGCCCTCTCTGTGAAGGCCAGCAAACACTCTCCTTCGGCGACAGGACCGTGGCAGCTGCCAGCTGATTTCGGGGATGTGATTTCTATACGAGCCCCGGCACTGAGGCCAATCTGCCTGGGTTCGCGTCCTGCCTCTGCCACTTAGAGCTGGATGACCGCAGGCAGGTCATTTATCTTCTTGGAGTTTCCATTTCCCCACCCATAAAATGGTGTTAATAATAGTGCCTAAAGCAAAGGGCGATTGTAAGGGTTAAGTTAGTAAATATATGTAATGTGCTTAAAACCACAACAAGCACATAATGAGTGCTATGTTAATGTTCAGTATCATGTTATTAGTTAATACTAATACAAGGAATCCACCAAGGTCAGACCTCTGCCAAGTTAAAATGAAATCTGGAAAAAGGGTTTCCATGGGAGTCTAGTGGCTTCGACTGGATATGCTGTCAATAAACTGAGCAAGGTCAAGCTCGCAATGGCCTTTACCCCAAGAAGAGAGCTAAGAGTCTGCCAACTGCAGACTCAAGTTGCGTGCTTGTGTGTTACTCAAATCAAAAGGAACCCAAAACAGAAACCCCAAACCACAGGCCCACTGCATATATAACCTCCCTTTCGTTATATTGTTCGTTCAACAAACTTTTTACCAACTTCTTAACGTGTGTCAGACCCTAGCCTAGCTCTAAGAGAAATCAGAAAACGAATCAAGCTTCAAACATCACTTGAGAGACTAAAGGTTAAATATTCATCCATCCATCTGTTTGTCTGTCCGTCCATCCATCCATCCATGCATCTGTCCATCCATCTAATCTGAAGTATCTACTGGCTTCTATCATATCCACAAGGACAGAAGTCATCATAATTCGATGGAATGATTTTAGGGGTATTAGAAAATGCTCAAGACCTTCTTCTCCTCAATCCTCCTTTGTACCCTGATTGGTGTTTGAAATTTCACTATTAAATCTTTATCCTTTAGACTTAAAAATACCTCCTGGGTGGGATAAAATGTTAAGTTATAACGAGTCATTTGCACCTGAGAGCTTAAAAAAGGACCTAAGGGTGGACTTTGATGGCAGGTAGGAGAAACGAGGATGAGGGTCCTGGGTGGGAAAGGAGGGCTGGAGCCCCCAAGCCTAACCTCCCTGTCTGCCAATGGTCCTTCATGCAGCTGGCTCTGTGTGCGTGTAACCCCCACACTCCGAGGGGGCAGGAGCAGTGTCTGTCTTGCTCACCAAGCACCCTGTTGCTCACACATGCTGGAGTTCTATAAATCAATCAATCAATCAATAATTGATGAACCTGTGTCTTTGCCCTCTGGCCCAGGAGAGGTTCATTTGTCCGTCAGGAGCCAGGGTGAGGGCCATGGGCCTGGGAGCTTTCATACTTCAGCCCAGAACAGGAATGAATTGTTCCAGAGAAAATCAAGATTAATAAAGGTTTAACGAAAGTCTACAAAACATAACATGATGTCCACTTTGTTCATGGTTAAATGTAGTATTTATAAAAATATCATAATCTTTTCAAACTATTTAGAGTTCACATTTTGTCTGTCTCTGCAGGATTTCCCAAAAAGACACAATCAGTGCCAAGAAATCAAAGGCAGTTGTAAATTAAATGTGATTACTTGTAGCCAAATCACCCCCAAAGACAAAAGGATAAAAACCATCCTCCCAAATTCCCAGCATAAAATTACAGATCGTGCAGGTGCATTTCACTATAGATGATATTTACTGAATAGAAGAGGCTCTGGACCTATGATGGCTCTGAAGTAAAGATGATTTTGTTTACAACAGTTACTTCTAGAGAAGAGATTTAAAAAAGAAGCTGTGTGGATTTGGTTGTGGGTCAATCCTCAGTCAGTAATATCTAACAGATACTTCTGAACTGTTCCAAGCTCCCGGCACTTCCACGAGACGCCCCCTCTGCCATCACCTTCCTACTGCCAGTGACACAGAGGACAAATTCTGGTCCATGCTCAGAGCCCTTTGCCCACCACTGAGCTCCTTCATTGTCATTAAGCACCAACCAAAGCCATGCAGATCAAGGACTGCAGTGAAGAGAACACAGAAGCCTAAGTCCCCGCACTTGGAGCATCGTGATGGAATCAATGAGAAAGGGAGAGACACATGAGTCAAGTTAAATTGTGACTCTCAGCAATTCTGTATCCCAGAATGCCCAGAATGTGCTGGAGGCGTTCCCAGCACAGCCCCGTTCCCTCAGCCACCCTCGGGTGCTATCCTACCTTCCAGAACTATGCCCAGTCCTATCAGGTTCTCCAACAAACTTCTCGTGCATCCCAAGAAAGCCACCTTCTTCTTTTAGCACTGGCTTCACATTTCACCTTGTCCCTTATCTATGACTCGTAGCAAACTGTCCCTCCTTCCACACAGCGCCCTACGACACACCCAGTTCCACACTCTACCAACAGACATCACCTAAATGCCCGCATCTGCAATTGTAGCCAAAAAATAGAACACAGTTGCATGTTGGTCAAAATTCAATGGCTTGTGTCCAGAGCATAGCCTGCAAGTTGAGAAACTCTTTGAGTTGCTCAATTTGATAAAAGTCCCAAGCAATGTGGGGACGACTGCCAGGTGAGCAGCTCAGGGGAGGGTGGGAGGTCAGGGCCACAGGAGGGGATGGATCATGGGCAGGCATCAGGCTCTTTGCAGGGGAGCCACGCGTAAGGACGAAGAGGACGAGTGCATAGCCAACGGGCCCGGTGCAGGGAGCGTGGGCAGGTGGGCTGGTCTGACAGCGGACAACCTACGGCACTGGGCTGGGCAGTCAAGGCTTTATCCTGGCAGCCCTGGAGAGTCACCGGAGGGTGTTTGAGGGAGGAGAGGACTATGTTCAGATGTACCAGGCACTTTTCCAAAGTGCAGAAATGACATTTCTGGTTGGTCCTGAATGTCTGCCTTGGCCCGGCTGCCTCCCACCGCGCACAGGGCAGTTAACCCTTCAACCCTTAGCACATGTGCCCATGCAGGCCCTTCTCAAACGGCAAGGTAATGCTTTTCTCTCAGATACTCTGGCCTTGAAGCTTCCAGTTGGTGGAAGAGGGAAGACAGGAGGGCGGCAGCGTCCCCGAGGAATCCTTGTTTCACACGGGCTGGCCCCCAGCCAGGCACTGGAACAGCCCCACCGACGAGGGACCTGATGAAGCGGACGGGACTCGGGGCCTCTGCATGTGAGTTTGGGGTGAGGCTATGAGTCGGGAGGGTTTGGGGTGGACAGTCATTTGTCTGGGGGCTGTGAGGCCCCGCCGACCAGAGCCGTGGGCAGGCAAGGGTTCTCTTGGTGACGGGCAATATCCCCCTGTAGAAAGACAGCTGCAGGGGGCCTGGCGGCCCCTGGGGGGACCCCAGCAGCCGGGTGTGAGGGCAGCTGGGTTCCTAATGAGCCCAGGAAGGTCAAGACCCCATTCCTGAGTGTTTGGGCAGAACCCTTTCATCACTGGCTGGCCCCGGTCTGGGGGCAAGGACTAAGTCCATTGAGTGTTCCAAGGCGGCGTCAGCTTGAGCTCACGGTCACTGACCCTCTGCACTGTGACTGGCTTGTTTCTCCTGCAAAGAGGGCCAGGCGGAGCGTCCAGAGTTTCCAGACATGGGAGCCTTATCCTCCCCACAACCCACACCCCTCCCCGCCCACACACACACACAAGCACACATGCACGCATGGGAGAAGGGGCAGGAAAGTTACAGATCTCTCTTAATAAGGGTAAAACGGGGGAAATTCCATGCAATCTGATCCATGAGTTAATCCTTCAGCTACCTTGAACCCCACATTGCCAACAGCTGCCATGGTCTTCCCAGGATGGGCGGTCTTCCCGAGGCCTGCTGGGAGGGCCACAGGCAAAGTAGAAAGGGATCTGGGATTAGCGCCCTGACAGGGTCCCCAAACGTGGAGTCACTCAGGACACTGGCTTTTGGCTGCACATTCCCACCGAGAGATTTAATTCCTGCAGTTTTCAAGGCCCAAAATCTTTTAATTGCTCAGTTTCGTTTTGAAGTCTTGGGAAACCAGAGAAGAGCCCCATTGCTGCGTTCTCCAGCGACTCAGCACCAGGTCTGGGCTCAGCCTGGCTGTCCAGGCTGGCTTGGATGGAGTCAGGAATGGATTTATCCATAATGATGATACATCTTCAGCGCACAGGCCTTGTCTTCGTTGAGTGTCCTTACTGCACTTACAAGTTTTTACATATATTATCTCAGCATCTTCTAGACAGTTCTGGGAAGCAGCTGTTATGATGTAGATAGCCAGGTGAGTCATGTAAGGCTGAGCTGTTTGCCCAAATTAGCGAGCCTTGAAGTCGGCCTCCACTCTTATCTGGCACCATCTGTTCGGCAAAAATCTCTTACGGTTACCGTGTTTTACTTGCCTACATCTCTAATGGGACCAATGCTTTTCAACCTGTATAAAAAAAACAAATAGGGAAGAAACACAGATTCTTCCTTTGGTACTGTGAAAATGTTACTATAAGTATTTGTTTTCCAGTAATTTTTTTAGATAAAAATCAATACAATTGTCAATTCTTGTCTTTAAAAAAATCATTCCCTCACTTCTATCAGGGAATATCTTCCATTACACAGAACAAGTCTAAGAGCCTGTTTTCAAGGCTTCTTCCGATGTCTTTTTTTAAAATGCAGACCGTCCATCTTGCCAGTTCAGGAGTGATTCTTGGCGCTTTTAAACTCAAACATTCCTCCCTCCAGCTGATCTTCATATGCCTCACACTGTTTGCGGGACGAATGGCCGCCAGGGCAACAGGCTTTTCCCGGGGCTGCCAACAGCAATAACACACCGGGATTTTTCCACTGGGGGCCGTGTGCTGGGAGGGTGCCCGGGGCTTGCTCTTGGAGGGCTCCCGTGGGGGGGACTCTGGAAGGAACAAGGAGTAGCTGGGACTCTGGTGCCTCACCACTTCTCGCTAGGGGCTGGGGGCCCTGCCAGAGCGTGGGGGCTTGGACCAGAGTCTCCAAGAAGAAGCAAGCCACCCAGAGGCAGCTAGCCGTTCCCTCCTAGACTTGGACGTGCACACCCAATGCCACGCACACCTACAGCCCCCCTGGAACAAGAGGAAAGTGAAAACAGATTTAGAACGACAGGTCTGTTTCCATTGGAGGCCACTCTTGGGCACAGGAGATCAGCAATAGCTTTGTTTTCCAAAGGCTCCTCCTTGGCAGGTGTTTACAGAGGCATCTGGGCTACACTTAAATGAGGAAAAAATAAACACTTGCAACCGTATTTTTTTATTCTGCAGAACACTGCAGAAGTGTCTCCTGTTCCTTCCAACATCTCAATGAGATGTACTCAGGGGTTTAAGAGAGGAAAAATCCCAACGTCCAGTTCCTGGCTCCATCCATAACCAGTAGCACAGGCTGCAAGGGCCTGCAACTGCCAGTTCCCACAGGACCCCACCCTCAGAAGAGCCCCATGCTTGTCTGATGCACCGCATTAGCTTATATTTCGTTCATCTTGAAATTCTTAATGATTTTTGAACAAGGGGCCCCACATTTTCATTTTGCACTGGCTTCTGCAAATGATGTAGCCCATCCTGAGAACGGGCAAAGGTAAACTATGGTGGCCCATACTCTTCAGAGAAAATGCACAACATGGCCCTTTGTATATGTCTGAAGACTAAGCTAGAAACGCCGTGCACTATTTCATCTGCGAGGCTTTTGCCTTTATGAAGACTTCTGTAATCTGAAATTTCACACCTGACCCAATTAATTCTAAACTTCTTAAATATTTTAAAAGCACATACCTGGAAGTATCGCTGGTCTCCCTCCGAGGGCTGAGCCAGTCATATCCTTACCAATGTGAGTCTTATTCTTTGGGGCCAGGGACAGGAGGAGATTTGTTTTCAGGGGCCATCCAGGAAAATATAAAGGCCCTATGGGGTAACTTCTTGGCCAAGATTAATACATGAGGTGGGCTGAGTGCCCAGGAGGGGCTGGGGTCCCAGAAAGAGGACTGGGGTAGTAAGAGCAAATTCTGGGGGGTGCTGGGAGGGCACTTGATTGTCTAAGTTCTCAAAAGAATGTTCTGGGCTCATGTGCCCTATCCTGGTCCTCTCTTGAACCCATTACAATCATTTCATCAAAACTGTGCTTACGAGGGTCTGACGTTCCCTTCGTGTTGCTAAATCCAACGATCATTTCTCAGTACTCAGATTACTTGATTTGCCTGATGACTTGACATGTGCATCACTCTCTCCAATGTGGATCTCTGTCCTCACTCACTACTCGGGGTTGCCTCCTCCCTCGTGGCCACACCTGCGTCCCAAGCTACTGTCTCCTCCTCATCACCCAATCTCCAATGTTGGAGGGCTCCTGGAGCCACTGGGCAGGCTCTGTGGCTTGCATCCAGTCTCATGGCTCTTAATCCCACATCTATGCTGTTGTGTCTCAAATGGCCTTCTCCAGTCCACTCTCCTCCTGAACTCTGCATATCTACATCTAACCAGGAGCGTCCCCACCTGGGCAGTGATAGCCATCTCAAACTCAACATGTTCAAAACAAAACTCTTTCTGCCCTTCACCCTCCAAACCTACCCACCTCCTACTGTCTTTACCTTCTCAATAAATGGCAACTGCATTCTTCGAGCTGCCCAAGCAGAATCCCTGGGGCTGGGTTTGACACCTGTCTCTCACACCCCACAGCTAACCTGTCAGTGAACCTTGTCAGCCTCACCTCTTTTCAGCACCCACCTTTGTCCCTGCTAGCATCGCCTACCTGGATGATCACAGGAGTCTCCACTGGTCTCCCTGATTCAGCCCAAGTGTGACCCTGGACAAGTTACTTAAATTCTCTAAGCCTCAGTTTCCCTATCTGTAAATGAGGACAACAACATGCTCATCATAGATTTCTTAAAGGATTAAATCAGCTAATGCCAACAGACACACTTAGCAATGTTTGGCATATTGCAAACACTCAGTACATTTAGCTGTGATTGCTTTGACTCTTATCATTAATAACTAACAGCTTCTGTGCACCTGGGCTCAAAAAGCTAAATTTACAGAGAATGAACATTAAACGTAATTTTTAACTGTATTTTATTTAGCATTAATAAATCTCAGTCATATGTTTGCATTTGACACCACATTTTTAATCACTGCCATATATTCCCAGTTCAGTTTCACAGGCTTACAAAATTCACAGAAGACTTACCTTATTCATGGAGGTTTCCGTCCCAGCTAGGACAATGTCCTGTTGCTTGTTTTCATTTCTGTTTTGACAGTAAGTCCCAAAAGGAGGTCCCACTGAGCCTTACTGGACTTCCACAGGAAAGCCTGGCAGCATCCCACA